AAAAAAAAAATGTTTCCTCAGCCAAGGCTTACCGAATTCTGGCAGAGAATTTCCTTAAAATTAAAAAGCTATTTTTAATACAATATACACATGAAGAAAAAGTTCTCAACACTTTGCCATTCGTGTTAATAGATTTGAATATAAGATGCAAGGCCTGTTGTTGAAACTTTAACTAGCTCCATCTGTAATGGAGGATGATCTCCCTAACAGGAGACATGCAGATGTTCGTTCACCAGAATTAGTGTCCTCTTAGCCACTGACCTCTGTTTCTTTATTTTGAATTTTAAAAATTCTATTGTGTGTGAAATATATGCTGTTTTCTTAGTCTTTGTCAGACGCTAAACTTCTCTTTCTACTTTTCCAATACTGAATTAGACATCTTGCAAGTTCTGATAGTTACCATCTGTTAGGTTTGAAACCCAGGACAAATGGCTGAGGTGCCCGTTAACATATCAAAGCAGAGGCTGGCTGCCAGGTTCTCCCTGCATTCTTCAGTCCTTACCTGTTGTAGGGCCCTTCTGGCTGGCATACTCCTCCTGCTAACCTAAAGTTTTCTAAACCAGGGGCTGGACTGCATTCTCCTAGCTGCCCATCCCTATATAGGCCAGCCATTTTGGTTACTTGGCCCTTTCTTCTACTTTCTTGGCCAGTCTTTTGGCCCTTAGTTCAAAGCTCTTAGTTCATTGCTCTTAGTTCAAAGCTGCTCTCCCCTCTCCATCCCCCTCCCCCATATGGCTTATGTAGCCACTCTGGACTTTGGCAGGTCCCTGTCTCTGACTATGCTCTCATTTTATCTACAATAAACCTCCACCATACTTAGGAGCTGGCATGTCCTTTCCCTTTTATTTCTTTTTTTACTTTCCACCTTCATTATTCCCACTTAATAATCATTTGTACCTAAGTACAGAGATGAAATAACCTGCCCAAGATAATGTAGATAATATGTGAACCTTTGTGTATAACCCCAGCTCTGTTTGCAAACAAATCCCGTACCTTTGTGATATAACTTTGTTTCTTAATTATGCTCCTGTCTTTATCCTAATGGGTCTTTTTCACCTTCTCTTTTCCCAACCATGCAGGCCCATAACCAAGGTGTAGACTAAGAAGTGGAGTCATGCTTCACACGGCTATACCATGCTGGCAGCCATTCCTGGGTCTGGCTATGGTGTTACTCTTCATGGGATCCACCATTGGCTGTCCTGCTCGCTGTGAGTGTTCCGCCCAGAACAAATCTGTTAGCTGCCATAGAAGACGCTTGCTTGCGATCCCAGAAGGCATTCCCATTGAGACTAAAATCTTGGACCTGAGCAAAAATCGACTAAAGAGCATAAACCCCGAAGAATTCATCTCATATCCTCTGTTGGAGGAGATAGACTTGAGTGACAACATCATCGCCAATGTGGAGCCCGGGGCATTTAACAATCTCTTTAACCTGCGTTCTCTCCGCCTAAAAGGCAATCGCCTTAAGTTGGTCCCTTTGGGAGTATTCACTGGACTGTCCAACCTCACCAAGCTTGACATTAGTGAGAATAAGATTGTCATTTTGCTGGACTACATGTTCCAGGATCTGCATAACCTGAAGTCTCTAGAAGTAGGGGACAATGATTTGGTTTATATATCACACAGAGCCTTCAGCGGACTACTTAGTTTGGAGCAGCTCACCCTGGAGAAGTGCAACTTGACAGCGGTACCAACAGAAGCCCTTTCCCATCTCCGCAGTCTCATCACTCTGCATCTGAAGCATCTCAATATCAACAATATGCCTGTGTATGCCTTTAAAAGATTGTTCCACCTGAAAACCCTAGAGATCGACTATTGGCCTTTGTTGGATATAATGCCAGCCAATAGCCTCTATGGTCTCAACCTCACATCCCTTTCAATCACTAACACCAACCTGTCCACCGTCCCCTTCCTCGCCTTTAAACACCTTGTATACCTGACCCACCTTAACCTCTCCTACAATCCCATCAGCACTATTGAAGCAGGCATGTTCTCTGACCTGATCCGCCTACAGGAGCTTCATATAGTGGGGGCTCAGCTCCGCACTATTGAGCCTCACTCCTTCCAAGGGCTCCGCTTCCTCCGTGTGCTCAATGTATCTCAGAACCTGCTGGAAACATTGGAAGAGAACGTCTTCTCCTCCCCTAGGGCTTTGGAGGTCCTGAGCATTAACAACAACCCACTAGCCTGCGACTGCCGACTCCTCTGGCTCCTGCAGCGACAGCCCACCTTGCAGTTTGGGGGCCAACAGCCCATGTGTGCTGGGCCAGACACCATTCGTGAGAGGTCATTTAAGGATTTCCATAGCACTGCTCTTTCTTTTTATTTTACCTGCAAAAAACCCAAAATCCGTGAAAAGAAATTACAGCATCTACTCGTGGACGAAGGACAGACGGTCCAGCTGGAGTGCAATGCTGATGGAGATCCACAGCCCGTAATTTCTTGGGTGACACCTCGAAGGCGGTTTATCACCACCAAGTCCAACGGAAGGGCCACTGTGTTGGGTGATGGCACCTTGGAAATCCGTTTCGCCCAGGATCAAGACAGTGGGATGTACGTTTGCATCGCTAGCAATGCTGCTGGGAACGATACCTTCACAGCGTCTCTCACTGTGAAGGGATTCACTTCAGACCGCTTCCTTTACGCAAACAGGACCCCTATGTACATGACTGACTCCAACGACACCGTTTCCAATGGCACTAATGCCAATACTTTCTCCCTGGACCTAAAAACAATACTGGTATCTACAGCCATGGGCTGTTTCACATTCCTGGGAGTGGTTTTATTTTGTTTTCTCCTTCTTTTTGTGTGGAGCCGAGGAAAAGGCAAGCATAAAAACAGCATTGACCTTGAGTATGTTCCCCGAAAAAACAATGGTGCTGTTGTGGAAGGGGAGGTGGCTGGACCCAGGAGGTTCAACATGAAAATGATATAAGGGCCCATCACACACTACTCTCTGTTTTACTGTTGGTCATGAGTAAGACATCTGGTATAGTGAATCGATCATAAGGTTATCAGGCAGCTTGATGCAGTTGCCCCTGTGTCAAAGCAGGGTCCATGGAAGCAGAAAGACTTCTCATGGAGACCGGCCGATTAGAGGCAGGCAGGCATGTGTCAGAGCCCTTCACACAGTGGGATACTAATTGTTTGCATTGCAAATATTGGCGTTCTGGGGATCTCAGTAATGAACCTGAACTTTTGGCTCATGCTGATGGACAATAATCCAACATTTTCTACCACTGCAAATATAAAAGAAAAAAATTAAAAAGAACAACCTACAGTGTAGGATTTACATATTAAAAAGACACATTTGTCTAAAACATACTCTACAGCAAAATTTGTATTTATTATCATTTGTTAAATCCTTGCATCATACAATACTGTTGGTTCAGCACCAAAAAGAGATCAATATATTCTTTTTTTGAAACATATATGCTGTATATGTTTTAAAGCAATATGAATGAGAGGTTGTGCTTTTAGTTACTCACCAGTGTAGATCCAAGTGTGGTCTCACCTTCCTTTTACCCACAGATAAACCTGAGAATAGATCCCTGGAATAATAGACAGAGATGTGTTGAGATGTGTATGTCTGGTGTAGGATGCCAAGAAACAAGACCCAAGTTAAAACTGCTCTACTCTGTTAACTTCTGTTACTATAAATAAAGGCATGTGCCTAGTTTTGATACAGAATGGAATATTTTTTATACATACACTACCAACCTGGACCAGTTTACTGTAACAGAAGCCCTTGGTTTCTCCAGAAGGTGGTACATCACTAGATGTACCTGTAGAATGCAAGGTAGGTGTCACTCATAAAAGTAATCCATGTAGCTACAGCTTAGTTTTACTTTCACCAGTCACTGCTAATGGGTTAAGGACCAATGGAAAAGAGAATATTGACTATATAGAGTTATTTGGCAATATTCACCAATAGCTAATATCAATAATTCCGTTGTCTACAAGCTCTCTGAATAAGGAGGTTTCAGAAGTCAATAGGAAGTAGTGTGAGACAAGCACATCACAACAGGGATTCAGCCAATGATCTCTTTCAGATGTGGTAGCTGCCTGCCAGTTGGCTACAAATCAAAGGGAACACACAGCACATGACATCCCAACTTCTATCCAAGTACTGTATACATAGTTGAACCACAATTAGGCAACTTCAGGATATTTTCCTACTTCCTGATCAAGATTTTTAGTTTCATATTGACAACTATACTACATAGATAAGAGGAATACATTCTGTGTGAAGTAGTGAAAGAAAAACCAACATAGACCTAAAAAACAATGTTCTGTTCCTTCACTGGGGAAGAGCTAAGCTTATAGTTCTACAAATATGGCATGTTGTGCCAATTCTTTTACCTTCTTGACCTAAGCATATTTGCCTAATTAAGCCAGTATTAATGTTACCACTCCAAAACAAAACCAGAAAAAAAGAAAAAAGAAAAGAAAAGAAAGAAAGAAAGAAAGAAAGAAAGAAAGAAAGAGAAAGAGAAAAGGAAAGAAAGAAAAAGGAAGAAAGAAAATAGCATTATTATCATAAGTGAGTGACCTGGTTTAAGGAAGCATAATTCCGTTTGTCTGAATCCTGGATAACCTTCAAAGCATATATCCATATGGCCTGAAAAATATTGGATGCATACTATATTCCTGAGATGACATGTATTTAATCAATATAAACAATGGTTCTACATTTTTCACATTTTGGGAAGATCTTGAAGAAGGTCTCCTCTAGGTTATGTTTTAAGATATGTAGAAGGATTCTGAGATTTCTTCCATTTAGTATTGTGGGTCTGACCCTCAAAAGCCTAACTTCAAAAGATATTTTGAAAATATAAAGAATTTTAATACTATTAAATTGGCCTTTATTTCTAAAAGTTTCACAGATTGTTTTGCAAACTGGGTGGCAATACATCGGGGTAGAAACTGAGTTGTGGATGTGTGGTGTGTGTGTGTGTGTGTGTGTGTGTGTGTGTGTGTGTGTGTTCATGTGTGTGTGTGTATGTGTGTGTCTGTGATTGAATAATCGCCTACTTGAGTTAGATTTCATTTAATTATCCTGGTTATCATCACAAACATCTTACAAATTCAATTTTTATTTACAGACTAATTCATTTCTAACAATTTGCATCAACCTAAGCTAAATTCTATCACAACTTCAATTCTTGAAAAAATTAAATGCTATGTTCTTACAATGAAGAAAGTTAAAGTGGAAAGATAGTCTTACAAAAGAGAATCTACTTCCTTTTAATTTTGAAACACACTAAAATGTGTGTACTGGACAAATTGTGTGTGTGTGTGTGTGTGTAAGAGAGACAGAGACAGAGAGAGACAGAGACAGAGAAACAGAGAGATGAGCTATTGACCTAAAAAAGGGTTTTGTTATTCCACTATTTTCTGTCAAAAATCATAAAAGTTGACTAAATCCTCCTAAGGAAAATGAAATTGGATTTAAGTTAAAAGATGAAATACTTAGTTCAAAGATTTCAAAGGTTTGTATGTTTATTCTGTCAAAAGAAGAGTGATTCCATTCTCCCAGGGATTTATACTCTGACCCATAAAATAGTTAAGATACTGATAAACAATCCAAAATGAAAACCCACTAACTAATAAATTGAAAATATGGTGCATTCTATAGCCTTCACTTACAAGTTCAAATAAATTTATGTAATTCTAATAAACCTTTGTAAAGTCCCATCTTTAATATATTTCACCCTTGGATATTTCTTACATGTTTTAAGCATGAAGTACCACTTTTCCTACTTAACTTTTAGCATCTCCCCAAAGTGGAGTTCCATATAACTCCCAAGTGGTCAGCTTTAGAACAATACCCCTCCAGAAATTATCTTAACTGGACATTTTATGTTAAGAGTACAATTATTGTAATAACAATTGAGACCATGAAAGCATATTTACCAGATTTTTCCAGGGGAATTGGCAACTTCCTGCATAAAGCAGTGTACTAAAAGATTTATTTTTAAAATGGGCATCTAGCTTCCCATTTCCTCATTATTGGCACTAATCATTGGGATTTGCAAAGCTCTGGAATTTCACTGAAAACAGCGTTTGAACTTTTCTGTACAGTTTTACAAAAGGGTTGCATGAACTTTTCTTTACAGTCACTTCTCTGTTAGATTAAGCAAGACCATTGTAAAGAAAAACTGGTCAGAACAGTGTTCTAGACCACTTGTCTCTGAGTTCCATCTTTAACGAGTGGTCCTTAATGTGTTCTATGAAGCAACACAGCTATTTGTCTCAGCATGTTGTTCTAAGTTGACCAGTAATCTGTACATTAGTAAGCATTTTCAAAGAAATGCTTACTCTTTCTAGCATTAAATATAAGAGAACTTCCTGGCCAGAACCCTAATCCTCGAGGTTTATTCATCAACCCCAATGTTGGTAAACAAATTCCTAGAAAAAAAAAACTTAACTATTAACAATATGAGTTTGGTGTGCTGGTAAGCAGATTCTACTTTGCGGAAATCCTTGTCTTATTTTCTTTTCCAGTCTCTTTTCATTTCCACAGCATCTATAATCATGTGCTTTTCAAGTATTTTCAAATTCTGATCATACAATACAGAAATTTCTAAGCCTCCACGTTCACAGGGACATTTGTGAAAACTGGGCTTGGTCAGCCTTCTTGGTGATTTTGCTTATCAACAACAGCTCTCTTCCAGTGCATACATTCAGAATTTGTTCTTTTCTCAGTGTTCTGTCAGAGAATTTGTTCTTGGTTCACATAGGAAGTTCAAGGGTCACACTCCTCTATGGTTCTTTAAAAGGGATTATTTAAATCTCATCTCCACTGAAGCCTGGCTTATGTCACATTCCATTCCTGCAGCAGGAACAGATATATTTCTGTACGAGAGGCACGAAAAAGAGAGGGTATGATCTTAGAGAAGTAAAATTGCATAGAGCCCCGTGTAAATTAACTTTTACTTACAGGGTCTTTCTTCATCTCTCTGTCAAAGCATTTCTTTTATCTTCAGGGGCTGTGCACAGAACTGTGAAACAACACAGAATGTGTCTTGAGGCTTGGTAGAAAAGAAAAAAATTGATCATTTTCAACTGAGAAGACTCAGACCTGACAGAAAAGACATCAAGAATTTAAAGAAAGGCTGGAGGGAGACACGGGATCTATTTAAATTCTATTTCCTTTATTGCTCATTTTTATAGTTCTCTCCCGACTGAAGAAGAATCGGTGATTGTGCTTCTGTTTAAACTTTCATGGCTTTTTAGCTTCTTCTCTTAGTTCTGGCCATCTGTCGTGCACATGAAGTTGCACATGGATTCTGTGGGGTGTGAACCAAGATAAAACAAAACAACAACAACAAAAAAAAATAAAACAAAGAGAAACAACAACAGCAATCCTTTGAGAACAAAGCCATTCATTCTATTTGGTATTTAGAGTAAAGATGTATCATTTTTATTACTGAAATGAACATTTCCTTGTAGAATAATTTATCAGAGGACCAGTTACTTCCATTGACCTTCCTCTATTCAATCTCTTTGGTCTAATATCCATGATTTTTTTGATTAAATTTTTTAAGTTATTCTGCCTTTATAGAAAAGGTTGGACAATAAAATATCATTTGACATTGGCTTTTAAGTTTTTTATTTGGATAGGGGACAGAAGCTGTATCTTGATAACTAGCAAACTCTTAATATGGATCCCTCTCCCTTTCTACCTTCAAAGGCCATCCCCATGAGAGCCTCCTCATATTTGAGCCAGCAAAACTATGATTATTGGGAAAAGAACTCCTCCCAACACAGGTCATCGAGAAGAGAGATGAGTGCTGTTTTGCTGTGGTCTTTGACTAAGTTGGAGCATGGGGCCTAAATCTATGCTTACACAGCTAGCTAAGAAATAATGACATAAGTAAACAATTTATGATATAACTTTTTAATATGAAATTACCTTGTCCACTTAGAGAGCAGTAAATGTAGCTGTGCGTTTCCTCCAGAAGTGGACAGGAGACTGGAACTGCTCATCTACACTCAGCTTCTCAACAGATGGCCAAGATGAAGCCCTGGTGACAGAAACAACCAAAACAACCAAAGACGTGCTTAAAATATGTGCAAGAAGGCTTAAAGCACAAAGTAGACAGATGCTTCTCTTTCTAAATATAGAAATCTGACCAAGATAAGTTCACGTGAGCTCCAGACTTCTGTCTTTCATTTTGTCTCAATACCACTTCTCCACACTCCCTGCTAGACATCCAGAGAGGAAGAAATGAGGAAGCAGCAGTGTGTGCAGTTGATGCCCCTGCTATAATAGACTAGATCCCAAGGTTCCCTAGGCCAACAGTGGTGATATTTCAGCCAGAATCAAATCCTATGCATTCTATATTTTACCCTGTGCACACCTACCTATTGGCAAGATTTAATTTACAAATCAGGCACAGTAAAAGTTTAGCAGCACTAATAATAAGCTAGAAAAACAACAGTAATATATTTCAACTTTCATTAGGAAGTTGACTGTGGTAGTAAGTCTACAGGCTGCAGAGAGTCTACACAATCCCTTATGTTCCTGCCTCCTTTGTGGAGGCCACAATTGAAATGATAGCTCCTTGTATACTTGCCTATCCATCACTGACAACTGTAAGTTACTGCCATGCCTCATCAATGAAGGATCTCTCCAGAAAGGAATCTTCTTTCATTAGATATCAGAAATTCTTGTGTAATTGTTCAACTGGAAATTGCTGCAAAGGAAAAAGAAAAAAGAAAGAGGAACCCTCCAGTCTTTCTCACATAACACTTTAGAAGTTAAGGCTTCCCATTCATGTAGTGTCAATCTGACAGTGATCTGGAGGTTGAATTTCTCTATCATCTAACTGTCTATCTATCTATCTATCTATCTATCTATCTATCTATCTATCTATCTCTTGCCTAGAAGCAGGTGGGCTAATAAAAAGCCAACTATAAATAGAATATTTATAGCCTGAGCAAAAAGAAATAAACTGGCATAATCAGGAGAACACTTAATATTTTAAGAAAGGCTCTTCCTGTAATATGCTAAAATGCTTTAGGAAAAGTACAAAACTGCAACTGTGTTTTTTACATTGGTTAACTACTTTTTAATTCCAGTACTGTTCAAAAGATAACTGCCCATGCCAAAAATGGACCTATACATTTTGTCCCTGACCGAGAAGGGCCAAAAAGAAGCAGACGTTGTCTGCATGTTGGCTTTTTTTATAGTGATGCACTCCTCCCATTTGAAATTGCTTTAACATCCTTATTCTACTCTGCAAAATCATTGACAAAAATCTGCAAGCGGTATGCCAAGAAATAATAAGGAGACAGAAGATTTAGCACTGATTTGTGAAAATGTATCCCATTCCTTACATCAGCATGTTCATGCACACTCTCACCTGTGTACACATACCATGTGACGAGTGGAACTGACTTGAGGGGAAAATACAGACGAGTGGA